AGCACACACACACACACAGCAGTATATATATATATATATATATATATATATATATACACACACACACACACACACACGCGGCCTGTGTTTGTGCTTTAGGGTGCACACCCTAATGCAATAGGCTGCGCACACCTATGCCTACCTCTACCAAATGGTGTCCCATTCATATATTGGATAACCTAGTTAAGGAACAGTGTACCGCTAACCCTGAATTCCCACTATTAGCCATTCAAGGGAAACCTCTAACCAAACCATTCATGCTATATATACAAACATTTATACTCAGACTAGGACACAATGTGCGTTCCTTCTCTGGCCATTCATTCCGTGTTGGAGTGGCCACAGCAGCTTCTGGTAATCACGTACCAACACATATCATTAAGAACATGGGACACTGGAAATCCTCCGCATACAACAGGTACATTCCTAACTCAGAAAAGGAAATCAGACTAGCTTTCCATAATGGGTCTAAACAATGTCTTGCTAAATAAAGTATGTCTTGCAAAGAAAACTTTTTATAATTTTGCCCTCTTTTTTACAGGTCTAACTTCACTTTGGTTTTGGCAAACCTCAACTGATTTTTGTTCTTATTAAATTAAACAATACCATAACCATACGTTCTTCTAATGTGCCGTACACAAATGGAAGGCTTTGCCTGTAATTGTGGGAGGGACTATTGGGTTCTTTTTAAACCCAGTAGCCCCTGCTTACCTGTCGTCGACAATCTCGGAAGTTCCCCTCCCACCTAACCCTTTAATAATTTATATTAATCATCTAGGTGGGCCCTCCTTTTTACAGGTCTAACCTCACATCGGTTTTGGCACACCTCAACTGACTTGTTCTTATTAATTAAACAATACCATAACCATACATTCCTCTAATGTGCCGTACACAAATATCTTTATATACCATCTTCTGCACGGTTTGCTTGTTTTTTTTTTCTCTCTGTGTGAATAGTGTCTATTTTCTCTAAGACTTGTGCCTTATCTGCACTCAAGTCATTTTAACCCCTTTCACAATTCAACTTTGAAATCTATGTGTTGTTTCTGCTCAGAAATGCTTTCAACTTGCAAAAGGGAAGTTCTCCTTAAAGGAACACTATAAGGGTCAGGAACACAAACAGATTCCTGACCGTATATTGTTAGAACCACCATTTAGCCCCCTTATCACCCTAAATCTAGAAAAATCTTACCTTTACTCCAGTCGGTTGCTGCTACTTCGCCCCTGACCTGCGTGCTTGGCTGACATCATCAGAAGTGGTTATCTGAACCAATCACAATGTTCTCACATAGGAAAGCATTGGATTGGCTGAGACTGTCAAGGAGTCAGATCATGCACAGTGCCAGCACAAGCCAAACACAGCCCTGGCCAATCAGCATCTCCTCATAGAGATGCATTGAATCAATGCATCTCTATGAGGAAAGTTCAGTGTCTCCATGCAGCACTGCCCCAGGAAGCATCTATAGTAGCCAACTGAGGATTGGCCATTAGAGGTATCCTTAGGCTGTGATGTAAACACTGCATTTTCTCTGAAAACACTGTGTTTACTGCAAAACGCAAGGAATTATTATACTCACCAGAACAAATACAATAAGCTGTAGTTGTTCTGGTAACTTTAGTGTCCCTTTAAAGCTTGTCATTCCAAAATTCTGTTAGTTCAATAAAGAAGTTATTACAAGATGCAAATTTCATCTATTGTTTTACATCTGCATCACTGGACTAATAAGACTACAATCTCTTTCCTCTCTCTTTCTTCGTTAATATATTTTTAAATATTGTATGCAATTTTGAGACCGTTCAACTTGTGTATACTTAGTCCTATGAGTAAGGACCCTTAGTTCCTAAAAGCTCTTAGCTTTGCCCCCGCACTTTCCCCACCTGCTGCAGGTACTCATTCCATTACTAATTAAGCTGCAATGAGGCCACCCAGCATAATTTAATGGAGTCAAACTCTGTTATAATTCAGGAAGCACCTTTAGTGGCTGTCTGTTAAACAGCCAATAGTTTTAGTTCTAGTACTGCATTGGAAACATTTCAGTTTCTCAAATACTGCAATGTTTTACATTGTAGGTCTAAGGGGGGCACTGCCCCTAGACCACTTCAATGGGATAAGGGTATCTGGGTTCTTATAGTGTCCCTTTAACTTCTTTTAAAATGAGACAACTTTTAGTGGGAGAATTGAGAATCTTAGTGTTTAATGAAGTTATTTTTTCAAATCTATCTTAGACCTGGGAGCAGAGGTATGCATTTTGTCAACCACCATAGGCATGCGCAGCCTATTGCATTAGGGTGTGCACCCTAAAACACACACCGCGTGTGTGTATGTATAATATATATATATATATATATATATATATATATATATATATATATATATATATATATACATATACATATACATATACATATACATATATACACATACATATACATATATACACATACATACATACATACATACATACATACACACATATACATATATAGGTAGGGTGGGAATAGGTAAGGACCACAGTGGGAGGGAGGGTGGGAATAGGTAAGGACCAGAGGGGAGGGTGGGAATAGGTAAGGACCACAGAGGGAGGGAGGGAGGGTGGGAATAGGGCAAGGACCACAGGGGAGGGAGGAAGGGGAGGGGGGAGGGGGGGAATAGGTAACACCACAGGGAGGGGAGGGGAGGGTGGGAATAGGTAAGGACCACAGGGGGAGGGGAGGGTGGGAATAGGCAAGGACCACAGGGGGGTGGGGTTGTAGGCAAGGACCACAGGGTGAGGGGAGATAGGCAAGGACCACCACGGAAGGGGGGTATGGACCACGAGGGGAGGGGGGTGGTAAGGGCCAGGAGGGGAGGGGGGAGGTAAGGACCACCAGGGAAGGGGGGTATGGACCACAAGGGGA